TTTGATGTTGTTTTTTCTTGTTAAATTTGATTGAGTTCTTTGTTAGGTTACTCATTCAGCCTTTTGGGTCAGTGAGTAAGAATTGCAAAAATTTTCTCCTATTTCTTGTTAAGTTGCCTGTTCACTTTCTTGATGGTTATGTTGTCTCTTGTCTTGCAGAATATGCTCTTTTAGCTAATGAGATCCATTTTCTCATTTTGGATTTTTGTTGCGTTGTTTGGTGTTTAGACATGAAGTTTCCTTGCCCTCATTGTCCTGATTCCTGAATTGGTATATCCTAGGTTTTGCTCTAGGGTTTTTATGGTATTAGTCTAAATTTAAGTCTCTAAATTCCATGCTTTGACATTAATTTTCGGATAAGGAGTAAAGGAAAGGATCCAGTTTCAGCATTCTACTTATTGGCTACCAAGTTTTTCCAGCACCATTTAATTTGAACTAGGGAACCTGGTTTCCCCATTTCTTGTTTTTGTCAGGTTTATCAAAGATCAGAATGCTGTTAGGACTTGTGGTATTATTTCTGAGGGCTCTGTTCTGTTCCATGGTGTATATCTCTGTTTGGTACCAGTACCATGCTGTTGTGGTTACTGTAGCCTTGTAGTATAGTTTGAAGTCAGGTAGCGTGATGCCTCCAGCTTTGTTGGATAATGTATTATAAAATATATTAGGTAAAACAAAAACAATTCAGGACAACAATACACAAATTGAAACAGATAGAGGAGTAGAAGCAAAGAAACTAAGCCAGGTAGCATTGTTCCCATCTTCTTTAGATGTTAGTCCTAAGTGTTAATCTTCACTAAGGAAAAAAAATGATATTTAGTAATTCATATCAGAAGCTTTGAAATTTCACTCAGCGTGAAAAATAGCATTCTTCGGCCTTGTGAGTATAAGGTGAGAAATATAATAGTTTAAAAGGAAAGAATGAAAGTCACTGATACTGAGCAGTTGCTTCAAATAAGATTAAAATATGCTTATTTTATCAGACCAATGTATACCATAGCACTTATTTAATCAGCTCTCATGCTTATGTTCTGACATTCTGGCTCCTAAAGTAGATTCTCAGAATTGGGAGCATGGCTTTGAAATTATTTATATGTTCTGATTATTGGCATCCTATTAAATCCACGTGTCTTTAATTTTTTTAAAAAAATCTAATTTCAGAAGCTTTTAACCAAGGTTTCCAATCAAATCACTGCTCAATCTTAACATAAGTGTGTTCCAGGTAAAATGGATTTTAGATAGAACATCACCGCTCTGTAGATCAATATTCTAGCTCAGTCCAAAGCTCTGTTCTGAGCTTTAGTAAAACAAGATCACCACTCCAGATATCTGTTTGGTGCTCCCTAAAAGTCTAAGCAGAAGATAGAGGAATCTTGGTGCACACAGAAATCCAAATACAGGCCAAGTGTGGCAACTCATACCTACAATCCCAACACTTTGGGAGAGTCAAGTGGGAGAATCATTTGAGCCCAGGAGTTGGAGACCAGCCTTGGATAACATAGAGAGACCCTGTCTCCAGAAATATTTTAAAAATCAGCCAGACACAATGGCTCATGCCTGTAGACCCAGCTACTTTTGAGGCTGAAGCGGAAGGATCACTTGAGCCCAGGAGTTAAAGACTACAGTGAGCTATGATTGTGCCACTGCATTCCAGCTGAGTGAGAGAATGACACTCTGTGTCATAAATAAATAAATAAGGAAATGCAAATACACCTAGATGAAGCCAGTGAAATTCTTAGCCTGCAGTATTAAACTGTGAGGTACAGAGAACCTCTGAGGTACATGAACCTAATCACTTCTCCTAGGTTAAGAGTGATGTCATATAGAAAGCAGTCTTGGATAGTGAGGAAG